AAAAAAAAAAAAAACAAGGAGAGTGCTGCTGGTGCACAATGCTTGAACCACCAGGTAAACACATAGCCAAAATGTCAGATTGTTTCCTAGAAATGTAAGGTCAGTTTTGCCCTGTTTATTTTTTCTGTAATTCCCAAAGCTGGGAAATTCCTCTCAGTATTTGTTCCTGTACATATAGCATTGTTTGTGAGTGTTTTTTAGGATTTACTGTACACATAAAGCTTACAGCTCAGGCAACGGTTCATCAAACTGACCTGCTCTTTTGAATTGACAAAATAACTTCAGCTCGAGGCTCACCTGCTGCGACAGCCATGCATCAAGCCAAGCCCCGCTTAATACCCTCAAAGCAGGACATTACTTATGGCATTAATGGAGCTTGTTTCAATGTCTCTATCCATCTGCCAGGCCTCCTAGTGACAGGAGCTGGTGCGATCAGCCGCTCAGTTAGGGAGCTATACTTCTCTCTCTGCCAGCACGGAGCCCTGGGTATTTCATAAGCATCTCTGGTTAAAATTAGATTTTCGCCACTTCTGAAAAGATTTTGCTCTCAGTGCTGCTGTTTTTTTTTTCCTCCTAGGACCTAGCGTCCACATAAGAGGACGAAAACACACGCCATGCAAGAGTTCAGGTCTTGGGAGCTTGAACTGATGAAGTCAGACGTGTAATTTTCTTAGAAATAAACAAAACCACATTAATATGCCCTGCATGAAGCGAATAGACCTGTTAGAGGAACGTGTACAATGTGAGAGCGAAATACACCAACTGCCTATTAGTTGATGCACCATGATTCAGTTTCTGTTACAAGATGGCCCTGACAGATCCAACTAAAGGTTTCTGGTTTCATGTAGCAACTTAATACCTTAATCATTCTGTCAAATACAGTAAGAAATATTTTCATAACATGATTAAAATTAGATTCTAGTTGATCAAGTTTCCAGATGATATTATCAAAATATCTAATAAGAAATAGGAGAGAGATCAAATTTCTCAGCTTTGAGCTCTTTTTCTTGGCTTATTTATATAAATTAGAATATAATTTACTAATAATTCTGACTTTGGTYGGTCTGGTTGCTCTTTTCTGTTAGAGGCAAATTTTTTCTGTCCATTATTTTCCATTGCTGATTTACTTTCTCAGTTATCCAGAACACAGTGATCTGTATAAATCTTGATTAAGTTTTACTTCACATATTTGGAAGTTTCTAATTTGAAAAATCTTTAAGATTCAAGAAATCCAAAAATAAAGTCTGGTTGCTTTCATTTCGGTTTGAATTCACTCCTTGCTCCTTTAATGTTTAGTGTGGAAGACTGAGGAGGAAAAATCCAAAACATTTTGTGGGGTTTCAAAGTTAGACTTAAAAAAAGTGGAAATGTATAAACACAAACATACTAAACTAGACAGTGGTGCATTTAACATGAATTAATTTGTGTGAGCTGGATTATATTTGGATTAAATTGGACTTTGGGTTGATTCCATTTAAAATCCTGCGTTTTCTTTCTGTTGTGTTCTGAGATGAATTTAGTTATTAATTAATTAATTATTAATGAAAATGAGCTCTGCAACTTCCACCTCACAGCATTATTCATGTTTTGCTCTGGTGGGATCTCTGACCTCATACTCAGGACAGTGCTCCTCCTCCACGTCGTRCGACACCGTCTGGATCTTCACATCTTTCTCCTCTTGGGCGCTCTCCCTGGTGTTTTCTGTCGACGCCCCATCTGAAACGGCTTCCTTATTCTCTGTGAAAGTAGTCTCAAAGCTCTCGCTCTTTGAATCCTTGCTGTGAAGGCTGACGTTGTCCTTGAACAGGATGAAGTTGGGCCTGTAAAACGCTTCGACGGCAAGCTGAAGAGAGGTTGCGTCCAAGAACTGCGGGGTCTTGTGTTTGCTGCTGGTCCCAGTGTAGTAGTAACTGATTAGACTGTCTTGATACGKCTGGCTTGGGTAGTCGCATTGGTATCCCTGGTAGTCGTTTTGAACCGTGTGTCTGCTGGTTTTATCTAGCAGGGGGTTTTGGAGCTCGCTGAGGCTCTCCATGACTTGARGACTGGATCAAACGTTCAGTGGATCAAAAGATGGAGTCCGAAAAGTTTCTGGCAGTCTGGAAGCTGGCAAAAATAAATAAATACAAACACAAAAAGTGGTGTTAAAACCAATAATTAAAAAAAACTCTTCAATGTGAAAAGCTTCCATTTTACACCAAGGCTAACACATGGCACTTTAACAGGTGCAGCATGGTAATAGAACAAAATAAAAAGATACAATAGAGAGCTAATYTGAGAGTGTCCTGATGCATCTCAGTAATCCAGGTAAAAAATTAAAAAGAAAAAAATTGTATACAGTAGGTCTTCTGGATGGGTTCTTCTCTAATGAAACGTTTCGTCTCTCCTCCAAGAGACKTCTTCAGTCTGAGAGTTTCAGGCAAAATTCAGGCTTTTAAGCACTGCCTCCATGTGACTGATACTCACATCACATGGCTATCGTTGACACCTAATTAACATGGCTTTCAAACCCCAAAACACATTACGGCAAAGGCTGGTTCACCCCAAAGATCCGGTGTCCCGGCACAAACAGAGCAATGTTGTATATGCTGTTAAGTGCCAGGAGGACTGCGACCAGTTATACATCGGGGAAACAAAGCAGCCACTGTTCAAAAGAATGTCCCAACACAGACGAGCTACATCTAATGGCCAGAACTCTGCAGTTTTCACTCATTTACAGGCCAGCGGTCACTCTTTCAGAGATGAGGATGTTCTCATTCTTGATAGAGAGGAACGTTGGTTTGAGAGAGGAGTAAAAGAAGCCATTTTTGTGAAGAAAGACCGTCCATCATTAAACAGAGGTGGAGGCCTCCGTTTTCAGTTGTCCCCCTCCTACAGTGCGGCCATTGCCAGTATCACTCCACCCCCTGTTAACAATAGGTGTTAATTAGGTGTCAACGATAGCCATGTGATGTATCAGTCACATTAAAAGCCTGAATTTTGCCTGAAACTCTCAGACTGAAGAAGTCTCTTGGAGGAGAGACGAAACGTTTCATTAAAGAAGAACCCGTCCAGAAGACCTATACAATTTTTTCTTTCTAATTTGGGAGGCAAAACCTGCAGGAAAATGTTTCATTTTGTTTGGCAATCGACATTCCTCTCACAAGCTCTCAGCAGCGCGAGCCATGAAATCACCATCTGCTGTATGTTCAACTGTTGCATCACTTACCCCCAGTTTCATACAAACATAGAAAAAAAATCAGAAGTACCAAAAAATACTGGTAATTTATAAAAATGAGACAGTTGCTGAAATTTTCAGTCAATCAAACTCTATGACCCCTTTTGTTGTTTCAAATCTATCTGATGGAACACACTAAACATAAAATAAAACATTACACCTATATAAATAAAAAAGTAAGTTTAGAGTGTGTGAGGCGGTCACTAAGGCAACAAATCTGCCAAAATAGAGGATGTGCAATCTGGGCATGTYCAGATTTGACTGAGCAAATGTGATGTTTAGTGTCGCAAATCCTCCTGCATGGATAAGCCACATCCAAACAAGCACCAGCMGCCAGTTCAGTCTGGCTCACAAAGACATAATCTTGCAAATTCATCCCTCAACCTTTGACTAATAATCAAATTAGATAATAGCCACTCAGGCAGCAGTGAATTAGCAGCAGAACAAGTCTGGAATTGAAGAGAATGAGCTGTTAGAGAAAGAAGAAAATGGCAGAGCAGAGTGAAAAAGACTTACAGGGGCCAGAGAAGATCTACCGTAGACCTCTGCGAACTCTGACCCCCTGAGGGCAAAACCTCGTGCAGCTGCAGTRGATTTCACAGTTATTTGCTGTGGAGAAGCATGACTAATGTGGGCTGGTGGATGAATCTGAACCTGCACACACTCACACACTCACACACACAGACAAGACACAGACTCTTCTCCACTGCGTGTCCACATCCTCCTGGGCGAGCCACAGTCCAGATAACAAGGAATTCCATTACACACTACATTAGACAAGGAAAATCACGTTACAGATCCACAAATAATTCATCAGACACGWGAAGTGCACTTAGAGCGCGCGCGAGAGTGCTTGGACTCCACAATTATTAATGACAGTGAGCCTCTCTTTACCTGTCTCTTTCATTCTTTCTCAATCACGCTAATTACATTCTTTTTTTATTATTGTTATGACATAACATCGCTTTTTCATAAAAGTGCACAACTCACAGACGTGGAGCAAAACGTTCACCGCTTTGCCCTTTAATATCCTCACATCAAAGGTGTATCACTATTTATAATGTAACATAAGAATATATTTGACACAGCGGCTGATAAAGACGCCCTGCAATAATAAACTAATCTTACCTGAGGTGGAAAATCCTCCCGTTGTTTTTCTTAGCATCGTTCCTCGGCGCAGCGGAGTCGATGGAGAAGAAAAGGGCTGATCCACCGTCCTACTTCAGATTATGGTAGTCTTTTTCTTTTTCTGTCTTAGAAATAGCTGCCATCGAAACACAAACATCCGTGTAGGAAAAAGGGAAAGAAAGAAGTTATTCCGTGGGTGTTGCTGTGGACTTTGCACGCTGAGGATGCCATGGCACCGCCTGACGCGTCTTGCAGCTTCGCTTTTACGCACAGCTCCGACGGGGGCTGAGCTGACTCCAGTCAAATGAWGGGCTGTGGGTGGCGCGCGGCAAACCCCTCTGGTTTCTAAACTTGCAGGCTTGGCCGTCTTCCTCTGTTCAGACTCTGGCAGATGCTGGCTGTTATTTTCTTTTTAAGGCGACCCCATGGGTTTGGCTGCTTTAACTGAAAGTCCTTTCTGAGGTTAGACTCCTGAGATCTGGCCACTTGAATGCGCTTTCAGATCGAGTGAGTCACTTTGCAGACCCATWTGATATTCGTGATGACATATTTTCCTCTCAAGCTGTTTGTTCTTCCCCACTGAGAGCAGGAAACACAAATCATACATCAGCCTCTCCTTCTCATGATTTCAGTTTGCTGGACTCCAAATAAACCAGATTTATTGCATATTTATAATTGGAATCTAACGGATTGCTTTCTAATTRCAGTGGGAAACACTGTTTTACACAACAGTTTACATTAAAGCAAACGTGTGACATAACAAGAAAATAATGCAAGAATTATTTTCTGCATTAAATAAAATAAGGCCCAAATCATTCTGTTCTTTTTGGGCATCCAAGAATGTAGTCAGTGTTGTTGCAGGAACACGTTTGAAGAACAGTCTTCTGCTCAAAAACTAAAAGACTGATTCTGCCACTGAATATGTAGCTTATTCAGAAGCAGCACTCTGTTCCAAGGGCTCATAAAACGTCTGGAGTTAATAATGTGCAAGCCCAGGCTCTGTCTCTTTCACTGGGAGATGCATTAAGGTGCTGATGGACACTTTATGGGGGAAACATGGGGCTGCATTCATAAGACTGCGGGCTCACATCACTCCCTGAGTCACCTTGTGTTCACATGCATGAGGCRGCGTGGCATAACATCCCAGCAGCCGTCTCAGTGATGGATACCACCCCCTCGGGAGATGAGTATATTAGAAAAGAAAGTGGAGAATGGGATGGGGTGGGGTGGGGGGGACCTGTGGCCACTTACCATTTAGTCTTTTTTCTCTCTTCTCGTCCTTTAGCTAAATGAACATTTGTGTCAAAGTGACACAAGAAAAGATCCCCGAGCAGAAACATCCATCACCAGAACTGCGAGGCGAAACCCAAATCTCACGTTGTCACATTAGGCAAAGTTTATCAGAGGACAAAATCTCTCTGATGACCAGATTTTTGCCAACCTTCTTTGAATGGACTGTGAATATTTATGCTTCTCTCTCTCTCTCTCTCTCTCTCTCTCTCTCTCTCTCTCTCTCTCTCTCTCTCTCTGCTCCTTTCTTCTGCTCCATTTTCTCCTCTATATTTAGGCACTGTGTCACTACAGCAGATGCACAATTTATCAGCCATGCTCTCCTCAAAAAGCTCTGCAATTTTTAARATTCAGATTGCCAGATTAGAATATGCAGGTAAGCCTAATTAACTAAAAGCAAAGCCRGAGTGTTATCTTCTTTTATATTGATTTGCCTCTGACTCTGTGTGATATCGCAGCCAACTCTGAACTTTCCTCGGCCCATTAACCAGCTTTAATCATTTAAACACTTTTGGGAATTAATCGGCCTAATCGGATTGGCCGAGAAAGTATCAAACCATTTAATTTGATCTGGCTTTTACACAGAAAGGAGGGGGCGGGGGATTTAAGCAGCTTTTCCCACATGTCCATCCTTTTGCCTTATTTCCTGGTTGTCTAAACATTTCCGCAAAGCTTATGCCAATAAAAGCACCTCTGACCACCAAAACATCCCAGGAGACCAACGAGAGAGAAGTTGCTCTGTGGGAATATTACAGGTTTGTTTCATTTAGATGGAGGCCGCTCAGTTTTAGAGCAACAGCATCACACCGAGTTGTGATATGAAGATAATTCTTATCCCAGGCCATCATGTCTTTCACATTTTAAGCTAAGTTAGTAAAAAATGGTCTAATATTCTGGCRCACACACACTCACACAAACACAAACTGGCACAATTGCAACGATTTTTCCAAAACCCCCCTTTGTTGCATCATTTTTTCAGTCATCCAGTGAAATGTTTCCGTTACTACTAGACGTATTGACAACCAATAACACAACTGATTCAATCCTGTTCTCAWCTAATTCTAAGATGTTCTGTCTATTAAAAGCACATCTTTTTTTGTCTCTAAACACAGTTCAAAATGCTCTATTTTAATCTTCTAATTGCAGAAACATGTTTCCAGAAAACTCATTTCTGTGTTGTTTTGCATATTTCCAGCACTTTAGCTTGTGGTGAGGATAAAAGAAACATTTTCTATAGATTAATCTTCCATAAAAGCCATAATAACTCAGGTGAAGCTGCACAGTGAAGTGCACTGGGTCTCCAGAGTCTGTTAAATCTTTGTGAAGATCTTTTGCAATAAATCATGGATTTCATTTTTACTTCTCTACAGTCACATCAAAACTTTTTTCATCCTTTCTGGTCGTTATCATACATTATGAACATTAATGACATTATTTTTGTGTCGGGGAGTTGATAAGCTCATCTGGGATGTTTTAAATCTCATTAAGAGCTCAAATGGAGTGCTTCTTTTATATGATCAGTTTTACAAAATTAAAACAAATTTTGCCTGAAAAATTAGAATAACTTTTCCCCCCCAAATGTTTATTTTTTATTTTATTAATTTTATTTTTTTGTGAGCGGTTCATCCTTGGATTAGGGAAGACCGGGGACAGAAGCAACAAGGGACGGTTGCGACATGTCATTTTTCTCCAAACAGAAACAAGCTAGAGTGACACTCACACTGCTCAGTTAGATGTCCCACCTTGCAAAGAAAAAGWAAGCAGATTCAGAAACTGCTCCAGGATTTATAAGAAAAAAAAMCTGTTTTTGAGGTACCAAAGTTTTTTTTGTCCAGTTTATTTTTGTTATACTGTTGTCACTGTTTTTGTGATCCAGCTCAAACTTATATGGTTTAAACAAGTGACATTGTTGACTTTAACTAATATACAGTAGTTAACATCTATCCAGATCAGCTTATTTAGCTAACACATAAGGTTTTATCATGGCTCACAGGTAGGGGGATGCAACTGTCCCCATTCGATAAATCCATATAAAAACAGAGCACATACAGATGATATTAAGATGTTGAAATTTAGTTTACACTTAAAAGGGTATTGGTTATTCATGACAATTTTATAGTTTAAAACATAAGTGTTTAAGATGTACAGCAGGTAAAATAAGTATTGAACACGTCACCATTTTTCTCAGTAAATATATTACTAGAGGTGCTAATGA